CCATTCGTGGGTAATGTAGAAATCGACAAACTGGCCGGCGGTTCACTTACTGCACTGCGATCCCCATTTCAAGCAATAAGTGGCAATATCTTTAAAGCTAAATATAAATCAAATAGATACTAAATGCCAATTTCATATATTTGCCAGTTGGCTTTAATATCTGAATTCTGTGGTCTTTTTAGATGCATACATTTCCTAAACACTGAATCTAATACCAACTCATTTATTCCGTTAGTGTCGCCTGAACTGGTAGGAAGTTTTTATGAACAAAAACCTATTTTACATATTTGTAGAAACACAAAGCAAGTACATCATCCGGCTACAATAAGCACAATGTTCAAGAGTTTGTGTACATAACATTTTATTTATATTAACTAAACCTAAAACACATTGTATTTTCAACTGCAAAGGAATGAACTGCTAAGTAGCACTCCTTGATCCAACAAAAGATACAACAAAAATCGCAACTATCTGACAACGAAATAAACTGAAAATAACAAGAGAAATATCATTCTAATAAATCAGTATTTTACCATCCATCCGTATCAACTTCGCATTTATCAAAGTATTGGTGAAACAATCAATATACGGAAAGAGGGTCAGTCTTCAAAAATAATTACATTTCTTTTTAGAAAAACTCTTATTTTTCTATCACCTAATCCTTCCTGGATTATCTTTCTCTTACCTCTATCAGTCGCTCATAAAGTTCTGCAATTTTACATAAAACAAATAATATTAAACAGGGCTATTATGGCACGTATCACAGTTTTCTTCCCATCACAGAAATATAGTTCATCACTATCATATCATAAAATGGTCACATGACAAGATGATACAAATTCATACACGTCAAAAATGTTGCCGCCTTAATAACTGCCCCAACTTCGAACTATCTTCAAACAAACTTCTAATCATATATACCTGGAAAACGCAATACATAATATGAACTGAAAATAAGCTGCTCCCATTGGGAATAACATCAGTTTATATGCATCCATATGAAATTATATTATAATAAAGAGTACCTGTAATAAACCAACAATTACTAAAATGATGGAGTTGACGGCGGACCACAAAGTCACACGCTCGAGATTTGCATTCATTATCGCACGGTCACGTGCTTCATAAGCTCGCAACAGCGATTGATGATATTCGATTTTATTCAGCTGATTTTTGATGTTATTAGATGCCTTCTAAAATTAGAATACCTCATTCGCTTCCCACTTTTTTCTAGAAAAGGAAAAATGCGCAATCATAATTAAACGAAAATATAGAAAGAATCAATTAACGACCAAATCACTACAAACATTCAGCTAATTATCTGATATAAAACAATATACTTACAAGTGTTAAGTCTTTTTTAAAACTTTTCTACAGTTTGCTTTACAGTTCTAGGCAATATATTCACATGAATGAGTAGAGTGCGCAGCAGAAAGACAATCTTTTAAAAAAAAGTAACACCAAGAAAGTCAACAAGTTAGTCTCAACGAAACTATTCGAGGAAACCACAAACTTCCTAATAGCCTAGATCCAACTTTTCCTGGAACAAACGAACATACTTGGAATTTCTGCATTTCGAAACCAAGCCCACTGTATTCCTGTCTTATAGGACCGAATTCCTCAAGCATGTTTGTTTCATCAAAGCTTCCATCTTCATCGAACAAAAAAAGTTCAAAGAACAGAACTTTACGTGTTTGGTAGCTGAATGAATTGTCGAAACATAGCTGATAGTCGCCGGATTCCGTCATAGAAAGCCTTCAACAATATTATCAACTAAAAGCAATAGTCGCAGACTCTTTTAAAATATTCAGAACATTCGATGAACTTTTCTCAGCAGTATCCCCTAAGCAACCTCCAATTAAATTTTAGATGAATTCAGTCACCTCCAGTTCAACAATGTTATCACTTCGTCAAAACAAATCGCCACAATTATTATAAAAAAAAATTTTAAAAAAAAAAAGGTGCATGGACACAAATCAGCAACCTGTTGATGATGAACGGTTTATTTGCACAAAGAAAACGCAAACCTTACTTATGGCTTCCCTCCACCTTCTTCGTTTCTTGCAGTAAAATTTTGGTACCCAAAAGCAACATAAAATTGATATTCAAATCGCCACCATCAACTACCTAAAGTAGTAGTTGGGATATATCGTCTTAATTTCTCCTTCTTTCACCCTAATATTAAAAGTTAATTCATTCTATTGATTAAATTTTGAATTTCCATGCAGAGAGATGATAACTTCAACGTTGGATCCGTACAGAAAGATTATCTACAATCATTATCTTTTCATTAATAATTTAAACAAGTAACTACATGCTGATAAATAGCAAATAAAAGGAAAGAAAAAGCTTGCTTGATAATCAATTTCCATAAACTTATGGTGGGTATTATTGACTGTCTGAAAGAAACAATTATGTTTTCCAGCGTCTACCTCAATCGTGTACGCATATTCTGCACCGCAGCATATATAAATAAGTAAGCTGAGGATGTAAAAAACATGCAAATCTGAATCCATATGATCTGTAACACGAATATACTAGAAACATGGAACCATTCCGATAACAATATTTGTCATTACTCCTGCGAATGTAAAGTAAACATCGTTCAAGAGTGTTTCTGTCATGATCTTTCCATATTGATGTATTAACCATTTCTTTGAAAGGGAAGAGATAATCAACTTAGCGGACCGAAAACAGTGACCACTTTTCTTAGGGTTACGATCGCTTTGCAATGACCACACATAAAAGTCAGGTCTCGACTCAAAACATTTCGAAATAGATGCCGGCAGTAACAGCCTTCGATCGCGTTGACGTAAAATTTCCAAATGATCGAAATAAAATGACCTGTCTGCACAAGGAATGAGATGAAGAAATAAAACGATCTGACTGGACGAGAAATGAGACGACAACCTTTCCAAAGAATTTGTTCACTCTTCGAATAGAATATCCGGTCTCGGCCACTCATTTTTAACTACACACACGACGACAACCCGGAACAACCAATCCGGAACTCCCACCGCACAATCAATTATGTGTAAAAAAACGTGAACATAATAAAAGCGGCTCCGTGGCACTATGGTCTGCAATTCTGGCGCTTGTATTTTACGGTTTATGTAAAACACGGCGAGCATAAATTGAATGTCGTGATACGTGGCGACCGGAATAGTGACGTGGGAGTGTACATGGAGGGTCGGTACTGCAAAGAGATGGTGTAGAATAAGTCCAACGTATGAAGGTAGGGTGGATGTTATGGTATGATATGAAAGTGGTGTAATACGATGCCGTCTGTGCTAATATAATGTTACTGGCAGGAATTAGTTTTGGTGATGACTAGTTACACATTTCCTTCTAGTTGGACAAGTTAATAGTGGTCTAGAATACTTTTCATCAAATTACCGGACATCCTGAAGTACTTGCTGTTAATTTGCTGAACAATGTAGGCTGCGTGAAATTCGCGTAGTCATGAAAAGCAGTGACAGCTTGTGTTATTGAATTGTTCAGTCAATTACCGTTTTTATTTTAATTTCCTTTTCCAGGTCCCATATCCGAGAAATTAAAGTTGGAGTTGGAAGATTTATTTGCTTGATCTCGAGCTTATTTATGATCTTACCGATGGCTACATTAGGGCGACGGATCGAACCTAAACCGTCAACAGCTAATATATCCGAAGCTATTCCACTCTTACTCGTTCCTGTTACTCGACAGCCTGCTGTAGCAATTTCCACCCAATTCATTCCGCGCACAATTTTTGTTGATGCCCAAAGTCTGCAAGCAAATATGGATTCTAACAGAGAAGGTAATAGTCAATATTTTAGTTGGATTTGAAATTTTAAAGAAGCTCAAACAAAATTAGGCATTAATCCCATTATTGTCTAGAGAAAATAGTACGAATTAGTAAGATGAAGTTAAAGAAGGTTGTAGTTACATGAATGTAATTACGAGAAATCTTCGATATCGAGAACTGTTATGACAATACACAGGTCTGCACCTCTTCCCTCTCCGCTCATCTCTGTCTCTCTATAGATTATATATATATATATATATATATATATATACAAAATCTCGATTTATGGTTATCCTCTTTCCATGCTGATTAAACTTAACTCACTACTCCGGTTCTAGAACTGTCCATACGTGTTGACTAATCTTCCATGCTTTGAATTTATTTTACTTCCCGTGTTCTATACTTGATTGGTGATGTAACTCATTTAGAATCTTCATTACTTTTATTCGATTTACTGCTTTATTTTCTCAGCATCAATTTTAATATATTCGCTTTACGATTTTGATTGTTTCTAACACCATAGTTCTATTTTTTATAAGCATTACAGTTGCATCCCTTACATTTTCATATTTTTAATACGGCATTCTGGTCCATTTTATCTCTATGATTCCAGTTTGCTTTATCCTGTTTTGTATTTTCGGTTCCCTTTCCTATATCTGGTGCTGATGTTTTTGGGACCCATTGAAATTAAATGGGGAAGCTGTGTGATTCTTTACTACTGTTTGAGCTCAAATAATGGAGGGCGATGTATTTTTGCAAAACTACAAACATTTAACGATTCACAGTGATTTTGATACACTTAACAAAAAAAAGTTCAGCGTCATCAGAGGACGACACTTTTACGCTACCTCTTCGTTCTCTCCATCTATTCGGCAAATTTTTGTCGAAGTAAAGCCTTGAATTATAGAGCTAGTGAAGAGTGAGAACTCTTGCATCCCTGTTAAAATCATAATGACATCAAGTAAAATATGAACAATAGCAAAGTGCAATTAAAGGCCTTCCAAAGCTTCGATTGGCCTTTCAGACTCACTGAAGCCATCAGATTTTACGTTTAGTTTTTTTTTGACATTTTTTTCTAGGCTAGAAAAGCTAACCGTTATATATGGATTCTTATTCAGTTTTTCTTTTACGTACTTCAGAATCAGAAAATCCCCTACCTGCACTGAGTTCTTTTTTTTTCCTCGGAATTTTGTGGTGCTCCTCCACATGACCTGTTCCACTATCAGTTTCTATCCCCTCCCTGTGTTTTGTCGAAGTACGCTAAAATGAAGGGAGATAATTTTTCGAGCATCACTTTTGTCATCCTTGTTGAAATATGATTTAGATAGCTGGTTCAAGTTTGGAACCGGTTCAATATTGTTAGACTGTGGCGAGATATTTGTTCTGGAACTAACAGCAATGTTGTGCTGATTGATCAACTAAGACTAGGCAGTAAAGAGGATTATCACAGTAACCTAACAAACAATCAACTGATAGTATTTGTTTGACTTATGATGCGTGTCGTGTTCTTCAATCATAAGTGGCAAATGCTTTGTAGAACATCATCTACTTTTTGTTAATGAGATGAATCAATATAACTGTACATATATCTTAAATGGTAGTATCGTGGGATCTACGAAGTTATTCAATTTCTAGTATTTGGAATAAAAATTGTATCATTTTAAATTTTTGTTCGCTGTTGTAATGAGGAATTTTATTTGAAGATAGGTTTTGCTGTAGCAGCTGTTAGAGACCAAAATTAATGTTGATGCCATGTGCAAGCTTGCTTGGATCAACAAAATGTAGCTTCTATGTTGTTTTCTTCCTTGTATCCTTAATACCTTCCAATCCGTTTTTGTTCGTTTTTGACGTGTCCCAAGGTTGATATATTTTCCCTGAATTAACATCTAAAATTCATGTTGCAGTTACATATGTTTCTGTTGACAGTTTATTTGATAAATAACCAGTACTGCGGTACAGCTTGTTAAGTTTCCGGTTTTACTAATACTGCAAAAATAGATGTATGCTATTTCTGGATGAAACATGGAGACGGATGAACATGTGAATAACGGTTTCATATTGCTTGTTTGCTGGATGCTTCAGAGAACAGCATATGATCGGAAGTAGTTTTTCTATTTTCTTGACAGAATGGCGAGTCGCAACGGACTAAAGCAGCAGACACAGAGACACTGAAAATTTAATCTAAATTGACAGAAACTATTGCTTATTGCTGTTGCTGACAGCCGTAATCTATAAGACTGAGTACTAATAACAAAAACGATATAATGAATCATTAAGCAAAACGTGATAAAGTATATATAAATGTAAATATATATATATATATATTTATAGGAGGAAAGAGGGAGAGAGAGATGATGATGATGGGGAAGATTACATACATTTTAATACACTTTATATTATTAAATGCAAAGAAATATTTGTATTTGTTCTTTTTTTCTCAATTATATTGATGTCTGCACGCATTGCAACAGGTCCTATGTGAATTTGTATATATGTGACACTGACTGTTTATCAGCTATAAATTTTTGTTGAAATTTGTTAAAAATTTAAATTAATTTGTTATAAATCTGAATTTCTGTTAAAAGTTCGTTAAATTTAAAATTTCATATAATTAATTTCATTTATTCTTACCTTTCTGTTTCAATCTTATCATCAGTAACGATTCATCTTCCTTGAAGCCGAAAGGAAGTTTGTTCTCTAAGAATAGTAAAAACTGGTGTTTTACCGGAACCAGTTTATCTAAAGCTTGTCAAAAAATTGGATGGGAAATGTAGCTGTTTCGTTTCCAGTCTAGGAGGTGTTCTATTTCCAACATCTATCAAGGCAAAGTGTGACGCCGAACATTATCGAAACTTTTATCTCACTCTATCTTGACTTCTTATTTCCAGTTATCACCTATTGTTATGTATTTAGTTAGAAAAAATACCTTCTGACATAATTGTTCCAGTTATGTTTCTTTTTGGCTCATTATCGATTTGGCTGATGTCCGCGTGTAACCTCTTTCACCAATTTCCTTAACTGTTTTATCTCGAAAACTTGTTAGATGGTGAAATGACACGATGGACACTATACATTCCTCAACTGACTTGATGTAAAACTTCAACAGTATCTAACTTTGCTTTTGTTCATACTTTTATTGCTTTTGCAACAGAGAAAAATAGATAGAGAAAGAGAGAGATAAAGAGAGCAATCCGTAAAAGTAGCTTTTGCAGCTCTTCGAGTGAAACTAGAACGTCGCCCAGCACAGGGATATCTTATACAACGTGGTATTCTTCCAGGTAATTTAATTTCTTTATATTCTTCAATTTCACTTTCATCTTTTTTTTTTATATATATATGGAAAAAATCTTTTTTTTAAACGGAGATACGGCGGTAGTTTTTCAACAACTAGAAAACTGTTGAAGGAATGGGAAAGGTTACAGCTTTTTGAAGAGATTAAGTTAAAGGTTGAATGCGAAGTGTTCGAATATTGGAAGAAATAGAACCAACTTAGGGAGATGGAGTTTTCGGAAATCGATTGCTAACCTCTATGCACTGTTATACTTTCATAGTAACTTCCATCAATCTGTACAAATCACTTCTACCAATTTTTATATTGCTTATATCACCAAAGATCAAACAGCGTTCAACACATAATCGCCCTCTACCCTCTTACTTTTATGAAACAGGAAACCTTATTGTGTCGTTTTTTACGATGCATTATCATTTATGGCTGACAAGTTTTGATAAAAGCTTTTCGAATCTTCTCTAAATGTTACTATTATAGCTTCATCCGGAATGACATAAGCATAAGGGTTGTGTTCTTGTATTTCATCAACAACAGTTCGGCTTTTTTTGATATTCCGTACCGATGATCTTTATTAAATGAAAGGGATACATGGGCTGTTTTCACCGCTGTTGAATTCTAAGGTCTTTATGCTTCCCTAACTCTGTTAACGAAATGTAAGATAGTGGAAGAGTTAGATTATTTCTATGAAATCCTTCGAAATTTCCCACAATTTAAATAGTTTCGATTTTCCTGCAATTTATTGATTAAATAAATGGTTTAATGAAAGTCACTGATGGTTGTGCTGATCAAATTATTACGCTGAAAAATTCTTTGAGCGATAAATTACGATTATTGTTTATCGTCATTTCCGGATATTCAGTAGTATCAAAACAGCTGCACTATTATGAAGAGTGTTGATAGAGGTGGTTCGATGTTTTTTACTGAAGGTTAGAAGGGTAAAATTAGACTTCCGGTCTTTGATTTGATAGTTATTGTTTCATGATTTAGCAAAATATGAGACTTCCGGTTGCCTGGATGTATATTTTGCCTAAAGATTAATCTTTCATGTCGTCAACAGGAAGTGAGGGTCGGGCTAACGGTGTGAAATGCAATCAGAAGAATGAGTGTTATGACGTAAGTAGATGCACTGCTTCATGTGTGAGTGTTTATGTCTATTTATGATTCATTGAAAAATACGATGTTTTCCTAAAGGGTATTGCTGCTGAGTAATTCGTTGCTGGGGTTAAAAGGAATGCAAGCATGGTTGGATTCATTTGTTTATTTCAGATAATTTGAATGATTTTGTGGCAGTGTGGACCCCACACAACGGACGACAGTTGTTGCGCATTTTTTTTCGTTGTAATGAGCTCGTGCATTTTCTGAAAATTTATCAGATTTCAGCTTATCAGTCGTAATGTAAAATCCCTTCTCATAGCTTCTTTTCCAAATTCCACTGTATACTTAAAAAAAAAATATTCCGTCGTTTTTGACGCTTTATTTTAAACGTTTTGTTGTAGTCGAGCATGCACATGCTTTCAAGCAAGCAAGTTATCACTGGTCAGTAGAGCCTAAGATGTGATCTATTTCAGTATCAATTAAAATTAAAACTGAACTTTCCGAATCTTTAAGTATAAATTAAGACGTCTAGATTTGATGATTAAGCCTATGCAAAAATGTGGTTGTGGAGACTTCCGATGAGAAAAACTGGCTGGATAAAGTAAGCTGGAAAGAAATTAACTAGCATTTACACATACAAAACTATTGTAGGACGTTTGACTTACTGAACGACAAGAAACTCTCATTTATTCTTGGATTAGTCTGGGTGTCTGAAATTATACAAAGAGGTAGCTTCAATTTCTTAGAGATCCCTGGGAAAATGGAGACTCCGAAAGTTGAACGAACACCTTTCTTTAAGTACCTTTTTCCGAAAAACCTTGTTTTTTTTCTATTTGCAACTATATATTAACTGGCCACAAGTTTGAAAATGCTCTAACTCTTCAATTTTTGACGGGCGAATGATAACCTGGATCTTATTTTTTTTCGTCATCCTTCTTGTTTAATTCATGTCATTTTTCATTTGAGTGCTTCGTCTGAGCACTTCTTCAACCTTGTATTCCAGGTATTATCATGAATTAGTTACCTTATGACCGATTGGATCTGGAATATAATCAACCTTACAACAGTTACAAAGTGTTGTGAAGTTACTTTGTTAGTTTCTGGGTAGCATATCGCTAATCCTGTTATTTGGCCAATATTATTTGAAAGTTGTCGCATTGCAAGATGGTTTCCGTACCCTACATATCAGCATACTTTGGCTGCATCTGTACTTTGTGTAACAAATTGAGCATTGCCAGAATTTAGAGCATTTGAAAAGCATTTCCATCGCATATCATCAGTAAACTTTTCCGTTATTTTTTTTTCCTCTAGTTTTCTTCGTTCATTTTTATATTAATCTATTTGTTTTGTGTACCGCTAGCTGGATCAGTATCGACATGAAATTGTTTTCCGGAAGACTTAAATTTCTCCCCTAACTCATTTAATAACGTCTTAAGTAAGATAATTTGATAATGTAAATAAACAACTAAAAGTAATGCGCGGAGCTGTTACTAAGATGTTGAAATTGTAGATACAGGTTCAATCTGGTATTATGATATTATGGTATAGTTTTATCTGATATGGGATATACTGTTGCTGATTGGCGCATTTTGAGTTGAGGTTTTAAGTTTGGGATGTGAACAGATAAACGCAAAAGCAAGGATGGAGCTGGAGACGAGAGCCGGAATGATTGAGCTCGAGCAACTGCTCCTGTTTACCAGGTAGTCGGTCGTTTCATTGTGTGTTCGTGTATGTGTGTGTGTGTGTGTGTGTGTGTGTATGTATCTGTGTGTGTGTGTTTGTATGTGTTTGTTGTCTGCGTGTGCATGTGTATGTTGTATGTATCTGCTATTGCTTTATTTCCTGTACACATACCTCCTCACACTTTCTAATCATCGTTCCCATTCAAGAAATAGCAAAGTGGCGGAAGATGTGAGGATGAGTTGAGATGAAATATCATTCTGTTGCCGTCATCATTTCTCTTGTCGTTGTCACCGCTACTACGGTCGCTTTTCTTTCAATTCAACAAAAAAAAAAAGTAGATCAGTTCGTTTTGCTACGTATTGACTGCTTCAGTTTTTTTCCCTATTGTTGTAGTTTTATTCTGCTTAACATTTAGTCCAACATCCATTTTTTATATCGTTTTTACTGTTGTTTAAAGTATTGGAAGATTCCACTAAGATCAGTGTTTTTGATTGACCTTGGTCTCTTGATGCAAGCTTAATCCAACAGGACCAGTTTATTTTTTATTGAGTTTCTAGTTCATGTTGTGGCCTTTTGGTTTATTTTCTTCATGCCTATAATTACGACTCATAGATAACATTAAGCTATAATACAATAGATGCATGTACCGCGAGATAATTTCGCGGGTTTTTTGGAAATAACTGAATGGATTGAAAGAAAATGTGTGCACAATGTGGAGGAGGAGTGAAGAGTTGAAATAAAAAAGAAAATGTTATGATTGTTTAAAGAAGTAAAAGCATTCCATCCGTGATGCATTTCGATCATATAGTAGTAAGCTTTTGTAATCGATGTTTTTTCATTTTTTTTTTAATTTTGTTTTTTTGGAGTACGGTAGCAGTGGTGAAGTGACAGATGTTTATGTTTGAAGAATTTTTTCTAGAAAAAGGGAGAGAGAGAAAGAGGTAGAAGATGGAATAAAAAAAACCACATTTCATGGTCACAAAACACGGATACACACACATGTAACAATTTGAAATCTGTACAAAAAAATCTTAAATTTTATCGTTTTGAAAAGCTTTGGGAACCATCAATAATACGCTTACAAGTTCTAAGTGATTTTTCGCTTCACCATCTAAAACAGCGTTAACATATGTTCTTTGAATGTATCTCATTTATTTGATCTCGTAATTTAACTTTCTTCATTTATCGGGTAAGTTTAACTCGCGGTATACTTGCAGAAATTCAGCGGACTTGTTAGTATCTTTAATCGCGTAGTGAAGAAAGGAAAAGAAACAATACCTTTAGTGATATCCCAAAAAGGAGGGGGAGAAATCGAGAAAATTCGTTTTTATCCTTTTTTTTCCACTCTTGAAATGTTACAAATAATGAAACCAGCGAATCCATCGAACATACGTAACAAAGAAAATCGTGCCTTTATTCGTTGCAGTACATCTATTACTGATGGTATCATATTACCAAACAAAACAGTGTTAACATATGTTTTTTTGAATGCACGTCATCAATCTGTTGGCTATAATTTAAATTTCATTAGTCTGGGGAATTTAGCTCCGTTATACGATGCCAGAGATTAACTAATTTGTACCTTCAGTCAGAAAGTGTGACCGGTAAGGAATGATCAGTTTTAACGAGTCACCGTTCTGCAGTATTCTTCTGGTTTAACTGAAACTTGGATATTAGTGTACTTTAAATGTCACCTACCGGTTGTAATTTTGAACACTGCTATAATCTGAGCAAGTCAGATGTAGAAACTGTCCTTGTCGGTAAATATTTCATGATGGATCAACATGACCACTTCTTGTAAAGCTATAAAAGAATGTAGTGGTTCTTGAATTTTTCCGGTCTTTTTTTTTTTTGTTACAGATGCGAGAACAGTCGTTGTTCGAGATATTTGTGAATGTAATTGTTCATTTTAAAGATGAAATCTTCGAGTTAACACAGAATAATTTTGGAATTTTATTAGTGGGAAAATCTAGATCAACGAGGGACTACATAAATATTGTGATATAGACTTTTTAATACTGTTACTGTTGTGATTACTTTTTTTGTTTTGTTTTGTTATGGATAGTATGATCAGTTAGTGGTTTACTGTTGTGATCACTTTTTAAAACTTTAACAACAAGAAATATATGGAATTCATGGGTTATTAGTTTGTACAAATTATGATCTAATTTCAGTTGAGGGAATGAACCATTACGAGAATAACAAGAATTAGAATAGCTAAATTAGTTGTTATGTGATATGAGAATTTCTAACAACGATTAATATAAATATGTGTTCAGGTTTACGCGATAATGTTCTATTCATGAGATTGCTTGTGTGAGGTTTAACAAAGGATGTTAGAGTATCAGTTCTTTTAGTTTTGCATTTTCATCGTATGTTCCCTGATTTTGCTTTCGGGCAAAAGGCACGCATATACAGATAGAAAGGTGTAAGCAGTGAAGTTGGATAATATAAAGTTATGGGAACGTCGCTTAGGAAACATTTGCTTATGCTCCATCAAGATCACTTTTTATCGTTATGAACAATGAGGAATGTTATAAGAGGAGGGTGAGAAAAGGCGAAAAATACGCTTGAGAGATATTTGTTCGGTTTCCGTTTGGCATAAATCGGTTCTGCTTTAGTTGTTATGATCAATGAAACTAACTCATTCTCTATAGTTACCTGCTACTATTGATTTTTTTATATTTTTTTATCCTGAATATTTGTATTCAGTTAAATTACTGTTTTACATCTTCCTGCAGGCTATCTGCGGTTACAGTGGCTGTGGCGGTGGTGCTAGGTGATCGTGTAACAGGGATGATAATAGTGGTGATAAGTGATAGCACTAGTGGTGGTGCTGATATGCTTTCTGGTTATAAAAAAAGCGTATGAAATGTTGAATATGATTCCTTGCAGTATTGTGGTAGTACTAGCAGTGTATTGCTCGTAGTGGTAATGATACTAGTTCGCGTCTTACAATGATTTTATTGTCACTAAGGATAATTTATGATTCTCCACAGTCAGTACACGTAGTCCGTATTCAGCATGATTTCTTAGTATCACTACAGAAAATAGATAGTTTCTGGTGACGAAGATTACAATGAAATAGTCGACTGTTATGTGAGTTATGGAAAGAGGATTAAAGTGAAGTGGTTTGACATGAGTGACGTGGCCCTTTATATTACGAGATTGATTTACATGGATCATAAGGTTTGACAAGGCAGGAAGCGATGAATGTGTGAAATTTGAACTGTCATCATTATATCTATGTATTTATTGGATGAGATGTGAAGATTAAGAGATCAGCTAGAGTTATATACCGTCCACGTCTTTTCTTCTTTTTTTAAGGAACGTACAAAGTTAAATGCAGTAGTTATCGAGATGAACAAGACGTATTTTCTGCATGATGAGATGCAGTTCTTTATATATATATATATATATATATATATATATATATATATATATATATATAT